CCTCAGCTGCACTTGAATATTCAAGAAGGCACAATGAAAAGTGAAAAGACAAAATCAGGGTATTTCTGTTGTGAGTTTATTTTCTTTTGAGTTTTCATCTGTATTGGGTTGCCTTATTTTAAGGGAGTGTGATCTTTGTACTCTTAATTTGTCATCCAAGGTGTCATCTAGATGGAGCGGCTTTGACTCTTTGTTTTTACTTTTGCCACTATTAAGTGTTGAACACAAGAACATTTTTTCTGCTTTTAAGAAGCTGACCAGACACAGGCCAGAAGAAGAAACACTGCCGCAAAGAGATGCCATGGTTATTAACTTAGGAACAGTTAGCTTGTTCATCCTGACTATGCAAATTTTTAAAAGCCTGTATGAATCCTAGTGTAATCCGAGTAAGCTGTACTGTGATTTATGATACCTTAATGCAGGGATTTAGATTTTTGCTTGTCTGCCATGGGGCACCAATTTTAGTAAAGAGTTAGCGGGGGACTCAGCGTAACTTGAGCACTGAATAATTTTGCTGTCACAAATACGGTTTAAGCCTTACAAACCTGAACATTCTGTATTTAAATACAGTAAACATTCTGTCTTACGTTTGCTATTTAACAAGAAAAAAATGTAGGCAGCAAGTGTCTGGAACCTGTTCCTTACAGAGGATAAGACAACTTTCACGCGTGATTTTCTGGGGTCCGTATCTGCAATCTAGTACTAAAGTAAAATATGCCATGCTGATACAATTGCAAAACATTAAAACCCCCAGTAAGTGGTCTTTGAAGCTTCTATCAAATCTCCACTGAGATTTTATTTCTAGGACTCCCTTGTATTTCTTTTGTTTCTCTTCAGGACTTTGCTACGTGACACACTGAAACACAGACAGCAAGTCCGACTTACATGCTTTGCTCCCCACATATTTATCATCCCTTCCTTCCAGCGTTTTCTGTTTTGCTAATTGAAGTGATTACCTAAATGGCTATTTGATTACTTGAGTGTATTTCATCTTCTCTTATTCATACTGCTTGGGGCCTGATTTGAACTGTTTGAACTAATGAGTTCTTTTGCTTGATTACCATGAGATTTTTAACTGAAAATGCATGACGTCTGTTACAGTAGCACGGAGTGAAAATCCAGAACAGCTCTGAAAAATGGGTTTGTCGTTGCAGTTGCCTGGGAGAAGGCTTCAAACACAGCATGCTTGATTTTGCTTATGCCAATCTAAATCAGGAATTAACATAGGGTAGCTCTCTAAGGGGAGAAAATACAATTGTATTTGTAAAGCAAATGGAATATAAGGAGACAAATCTGGATGCAGCAAATGGAGGCACAGCTCCATTTCACTCAACATTATGCAATGACCTTGCCTCTGTTTATGCTTGGTCTGACTTGGATTCTGGAAGTGCTGTAAACCACACGCTGTGGCTGTTGTTCAGTGACACCTTACTCCTCCAGTAGTCTCACAGGAGGCTATTTGGGGTGCGAGGAACCAAACAAGATGGGTAAGAATAGCATCTGCCCTTATATAAGTGCCAACTGCCGCCACGTTTGATTGCGTTTATCTCTATAGACGGTGTCCCTGGGCCGGGTTGATCTGCTGTCCTGCCGGTTTCCTTTAGACACAGCCCGGCTCGTCTCCTGTGATGCAGTGTGGTAGCTTGGGGTCAGCTCAGCAGTGTTGGGTAGAACAGACCCCAACTTTTTAAGCTATATCGCAGGGATCTGCTTCCCTGGTTGGCATCTGAGTATGCTGGCACTGTTGGTGTCTCGCTTGGGGCTGTGAAACAGAGCATGGCCTTTCCTGACTGCTTGTCCACCGCAGTATGGCCTGGCTGCCCTCAAAGGGAGGGCTGAGGTGGAGGAGAGGCTGTTGATGGCAACACCACGTGAGCAAAGATATGGAAATGCTGGCCAGAATAAAGGAAGAGGTGAAAATAAAGGGAAAGTCGTGGTCAGAGGGCAGCAGGAAAAAAGGAGCATGCCATTTCAGAACTCTGATAATGTAATTCAGACCATACAAGTCTATAGGTGTAGCTAATACATTGGTATAAATACCACTTAATTTACAGGAAACAATACTTCTGCTCTTCCCCATAAGGAGAAAAACATGATCTAAAGAAGAAACACCTGTATAATAAAAGGAGCAGAATATCAACTTGTTTAGATGATTCTGATACAGATGTATTCATTCATATTAAATTGCAACATCAGTGTCACTATTTTAAAAGACTTTTTTTCTAACGTAAGAGTCAAACTTATTTCAAAATTTGTTTCAGATACTGAAGGATATTCAGTGTATTTTCTTCTGCCTTATTCCATATTGGATTTTTAATTCTCTTCTTATCCCTTAAATACATCGGCCCTGAATTTAGTGAGAGAAACTAGGGGTGTAGCATACTAGTTCCAGTTCTTCTGTGCTAGTGCCTTCATTCTTAGACTACTCTGTGTAAGTTAAGTCTCGGCTGGGATATATGTTCCCTAGCTTGTACCCTGATAGTAACAAAGAAGGAGAAGGCAATGTATCACATTACTGACTTTTGCTTGAGATGGTATGAGAAAAAGCAGCATAAAAAAATGAGCTCATGGGAGGTAATAGGCTTTCAGAGGGATGGGGAAAGTTTGACCTGTGCATGACGGGAAGTTTGACTTGCTAAAGGATTGTGCAGAACAGAAGGAAGAGGCCGGGAGCACGCCTGTCCGCATCCAGCACTGCTTTTGAAAGGCAGTGTATGTTATTATAACCTTTGACCCAGAAGTTGCCAGAGCAGGAGACGTACATGCTGGCTGAGAGCTGTGCAGCAGTTTTCAAGTACGTTCTTGGTCTAATAGTAACTTTCAAACAAATCTCTTTGTATTTCTACTCCTAATTTAGGAAAAAAAATACAAACTCCTGTGCATGTTTTTAAAAACAATTCCTCCCTGCTTTTTTTAAACAACAAAACTATCTATCTGAAGATTGTACGTCAGCTTTGACTGACAGAAAAATGCAGGGATTCCACCTCTTTTTTGCTAACAAGTGTAATTTTCTTTACTAGTATTTAAATGTCTTGCAAAATTGTGGCAGCTTTAACTCTCAGTTTTCACTACAGGGTGTGCTGATTGATAAAAAGAAAAAAAATATTCACTCTGGACATCGAAAAGCAGTGATCTCCGCAGTCTTCTAATGCATTGATTTAGCCGTGTTCTTAGACTTATGCTGACCAGAAAAAAGTCTCTTCGTCTCTGATCTAGTGAATGAAGGCCAGGATGCAGTGTGAGCTACCAGTTTAAGTGGAGCTACAAAATAGACACTTGATTTCCCCACACACCCTGGGGTTTTTTTGTTTTGTTTTGTTTTCCTCTCAACACTGCTACTTTTAGAGAAGGAAGAGGTACATATGTCCTTTTTCATCTTCAGATTTGATGTATTGGGGGTTTCTGTGCTTTTAGTGATTTTTAAGGCATGGGGACACCTTCCAAAGGTACATTCTGAATAAAGGCCTTTTTGTAAGGAAAAACCAACTTTTTGGTTTTATTTTGTTACCTTAGTTTCAAAGATAGTTTCACTTTTGTTTTTTGTTTCTCAGATCTTCTTGATTTCTGTAGGCTTTGCTGCGAGCACTTTTCAGTCTTGTGTTCTGCAGCGATCCAAGGAGGGGAGAGGCTGGTGCTTTGAGCTCCAGGGGATGAGAGAGGATCTGATATGGGATGTGAGTCTTTTATCAGGACATGAAATGATGCCTCTTCAAGACAATCAGGAAGCCCTTACTAAAACTAAAGCAAGAATAAATAGTGATACATCCTTCCCCTTAGCCTCCCATTTCCCATCTTGGGCTGGTTGCCATTTCAGGGACAAGGACATCCATTAAAGAGACAGATCGGTGCTGTTAGGGCAGTGACAAAGGTCCTGCCAACACCACTGGTAGCCACGTGGTAGGAGGTTGTTTCTGCAACCTCCCTGCAAGAGCATCCGGTTGGCAGCACCTGCTGCTTTAAACTCAGTACTTGGAATATCTTCTGAAGCAAGCGGTTTTGTTGGCACCTGTCCCACGCCTCAACTGCTGAGGGTCTTCTGTCTTCACTCTCCTTGAGCTCCTTCTTTAATAGAACAGTGAGCTCAATGTAAGAATCACCCGTTTTTCTCTAGTAGTACTTGGGACATGCATATACACCTGCCTTTACTATGGGTTGTGAAGGAAAGTCTGGAAAATTATGCCTGTGGTGTGTTCAGGTGTAGTGAATCTGCCTGGCAGGTAGCACCAAAGATTGCTTCTGTGCTTTGGTAGGCTCAGTGCAATTCCCTATAAATAAATTCTGATTTGAAGGAGTTGTCTATAAGGAAAGAAAAACAACATAGCTGCTCACTAAAACTAGGCAAAAGTTTGTTCAGTCAGCTGCCTGTTAGTTCCCTGGGCCAGCATTTGATTACTGTTGACTATTTAGATTTAAAGAGTTACATTTTCTTAAGTATACATATAATTTTTCAGTACTAATGTTCTTGTGCTTCTGTAGAGAACTGCTTTCTAATTAACTTCATTTTTATATGCAGTAGAAATGGCTTTAATTAACATTGTCGTTTTCTATTCCTTAGATGTGGTTGCACTGTAAAGTCTTCTACAGGTGTCTTGGGGTAGTCCAGCTCTTCATCCATTAACATACTCTACAAAATAACTGCATGGCAAATTGCAGTCAGCCCGTCTTCTGTGACAGGAATGTATTTGGCAAAGAGTTGTTCTTCCGTGGTAAAGGAGACAGCTGTCATTCCTGGCCTTTTCAGTACTGAGACTGAATAGGTCTGGTACATAAAAGTGCATGCATTAGAAATGCAGCAGTGGAATTGGCAGCTACCTCTAGCAGGAAGTTTTTAAGTCTTCTGTGTGCTAGAATAGCATGAACTAAAATACCTTACTCTATAAACTGTCAACACTGCCCCTGTCTCCAGAATATATGGCTCTGTTCTTTACATATTTCCTTCAAATGAATACTTTCTGTGTCCAAAATAATTTTTACAAAGCTTTCTCCTATTGTTTTTTCAGACTACACTGGCACACATCATAGCCAACAGTAGCAAAAGGAACGGCACGAGGTTTGTGACACTGTCGGCCACAAGTGCCAAGACAAATGATGTTCGAGATGTCATCAGCCAAGCCCAGAATGAAAAAAGACTCTTCAAGAGAAAAACTATCCTTTTTATTGACGAGATCCATCGTTTCAATAAATCTCAGCAGGTATTGTTCTATGCCGCTTTTTGAAAAAAGCCTTTGTCAGCACTTCTGGAAAATTTCCCATTTTGCCTTAAGATGATAGCTTACTCTAGGCTCTTGATTTTAATGTTAATGTTTTTAGTAGATGGATTAGGAAGAAACATAAAAATTAAATTCCATTACTAACTTCCAATCAATGTTTAATTATTGTGATGCAAAGATTTAAATTAAAGGCTGATCTATATTTATAGTTGACTTACATGTAGGGCTTTATATGACTTTTTCAGAAATTTTATTTCTGCAAAGTCATGTTAGTAATGTTTGCTGCATATATCTTCATTTCAGCCTCCACCCTGGGGGTAGCATTCTGCATTACCTTTAAAAAGGTCTGGAATATGAATGTGCCTAGGGCAGGTGTGCGTTTTAATAATGTCCCCTCTTCTCTGCGAGAACAGAGAAAAATAAGGCATAGCATGGATAACATATCCCAAATAGCTTTGAGATAACACATTGCTGCAGCCATCACTTGGGTGGTTTTTTTTCTTTTTCCTTTCCTAGGTCTCAGTTTTCTTTAGTTATATCATGGAAAGCTTCAATTCTGTACTGTAAGTTACAGTTTTTATATTGAACCACGCTACAATCTTCCTATAGTTTTCTGAGCCATCCTGTAGAGTTATATAGGGAACTGTAGCCCTAAAGGTTGAATCAAAGAGTATTTAGAAGTAGCTTCACTATTTGTTATATTTGATAACGCAATTTCATGATATCTTACACTTGCGAAGCAATAAACCAGAGTCATATAAATAAACTAAAAATTTGCAAATTTTCGACACTGTTTATTTTCAGCTGGTAGGGTCATTCTCAGTGCAAGCATGAGTTAAGGTAAACAGCCCCTAACATGCTGCACGCATGAAATTAAATAATTTAGATAGCTGAGCAGATGAGCTGCCTTGTCAGTGAGGTTATTTGTCATGTTAACAGGGAACCCAAAGACTCACAAGATGTTAAAAATGTAGCCTACTCACATGGGATGCTTCAGGTTGTCATTGATTGAGATCAGCTTTTTCTGCTTCCCTCCCATCCTCAGGACACTTTCCTTCCTCACGTCGAGTGTGGGACAGTGACCCTGATAGGAGCGACCACAGAAAACCCTTCCTTCCAAGTCAATGCCGCTCTTCTGAGCCGATGCCGGGTTATCGTCCTGGAGAAGCTTTCTGTTGAAGCAATGGAGGCAATTCTGATGCGGGCCGTCAGGTCCTTAGGGGTCCAGGTTTTGGGCCAGGGTGACCAGCACGGCAGCTCTGCGACTGGCAGCAGCAGCGAGAGCTCAGAGTGAGTACTTTATGGGCTGCAGGGTGTTAACGCACACAGCCTGAGGAATTGACTGCCTGCCAGGGAGAGAATGAAGCAGTTGGGGGGTGGGAAGAGAAACCCTAGCCACTTCTGATAGTAAAGAAAAGAAGTGGCAGCATATGGCAGAGGCGAAGGGTGACAGGAGAGAGAGAATTCAAAGCACTGGCTCTCTCCACCCAAAACATAATCTCACCATGTGGATTAGGAGAGTTTTATACTTGGATCTGTGGCTCCTGACTCACCCTCTCAGGATATTTAAATCCATTCTGCTGCTGAGGATTTGCTGTGGAAGCCTGCAACTGGTTCTTTGTCATGTCCTAACGTGCGTTACTTTTTGCTGCTGGTTGTAACAGCATCATGTTACCGTTAAGTGGTGGATGGGGCATCCCCTCTTAAATTAATTTGGAAATGCCCAACAAAAGTTTTTTTTCTGAGAAATCTTTTTTTAATAAGATCAGAGAGGATACTACTGTTCTTTAGTTGCAGGATAAGTGCTGTGGTATGTTTTATGGTTTGCTGTGAGGTGTTAATTGTTTTTCTCCGCTTCTTGTTATCCAAGCCAGAGTCACATTAAACATTTGGGAGAGTTTTGGAAAACACGAGATCCAGATTTGTCCATAAAGAATGTTATCTGCCCTTTGAAATGACTAGCTGGCAAATAAGAATAATGCTTGGTACTGCGCTACTTTCATGCAAGTTATGACAGTTCCTTCATGTGGATGCTTATGTGTGCTCCTAGTAATTTACAGTGCATTGACATGGTGGTAATTGGGCAGCCACTCTATAAGAAATAAATGAGAGGGAATCCACTTTGTCCTTTAGCTTTATCACAGAATGTAAACACTGAGAATCACTAACCTGAGCGCTGAGGTCAGGGCAGGGAATGAAAGCTATTCCCTTTTTATTTTTAGGGTACCCTGCCTCATTGTTTACTCATTCATAGCTTTTACATATTGTAGTAATGTGAATTTTAAAAGAGACGGCAGTACTGCACGTCAGCCTTAATGTAATGGCACAGCTGTGGTTGTGGCTACACCCTGACTGGGGTTCGGAGACTTTCCTTTCTGTACAGGATTAAAGTACAAGGCATAGTTTCGGCTGCAGTTGTTTGGGTTTGGGTTTCGCTGGACTCTCCGTATCTGTAACCTTCTGTTAGCTGTGGATGATTTAAACAGCACGGTGTGGTGCTTCATCAAACTGAAAGGAGTCTGGCAGGCAGACTGTCAGACTAGCAGTTTCAGAAATCTTTTTGTGAAGAGAGAAGGCCCCGCTCCAATAGCTAATGTGGGAGCCAAGCTTTTAAAAATAAAAATGGAGTTCAGAATTTAGGAGCGTTGTTTGCAGTTGTGTGTTAAGTCTTTCTTGTCTTTCCTGCCACTATGTGGTTCTGATTTGTAGCTGATGCATGCTGTTGCTGATGAGTTTGGCTTTTTGTAAGCCATCCTGTCCCTTACTGTGGGTCTGGTTTTGGTCTTGTTAATTCCTTCTTATTGCTTCATTGTCCATACCATTTCTGCTCTTTCGTTTCCTCCCCACCTACTATTCTGCAGGAGCAACTGTGTCTCATCTTTTACCTCTTCACCTCCCTGCCTCTTTGAAGCCGGGTTCTCATTATATGCAGGCAGGTAACAGTGTGCATGCTCTCCTGAGGAATAAATGAAAGGCACCAATTACAGTTGAATTGGTTGTTCACTGTGCTCACCTTTGTTCCAGGATTAGAAAAGGACCTGTAAGGCAGCATGTCCCCAGATGTAGGGCATGCCCACTTTAGAAATTCTAGAGATGTGTACGTTGAATTTTGGATTTCATTTCCTTAAGGAGTGAGTTTCCCTTCCCAAACCATGGAAGTGCCATATGAAATCCTGCATGTGCTGCCTGGCCTCAGCTTATCAACTGATTTTGGCATCACATCACTTGTCTGACATGCCATCTGACTTAGACAAGATTTTGAAGAGGATGATTCTTTGTGGTCTCTTCTCTTACCTTGAGGAATAAGGTGAGGGTGAATCTTCCACAGTCTCTACAGGTATCTTCTGTTCTCAACAAGAATGCAGTGATTCAATAGGTTTCATTGTTTCTGCACTCCATGCACAGCTGCAGTTATCAAATGGAAAGTGTGCCCTACCAGAATCTGTTTCCTTAAATTTTCTTGGTGGCTTTTTCTTATCTTTTCTTATCTTGCTTCTGCCTTTGTTGCAGGTTTCTGATAAAGTTAGCTCACCTGGCTTCTCTTTGATCCCACTGTGGCCTCTTCTTGCTGTAAAGCTGAAATAGAACTAGCAGGAGGTGTTACCTACTTTAGCATCTTTTTCTTTGTTGTGTGATCGTGCTTATAAAGCTTCTTTGACAGTTTTTCTATTAGTTACTAGATTTCTTTGTGTTATATTTTCATCAACTTCTATTGAATTGTGCCTCTTAAAGCCTGCAGTAAGCTAAAAGAGGGAAAGGAAGAAATGCACTCATGAAGAAGAAAACTAAGTAGAAGTCAGTGTTAAAGATGCTTTATATTGCTGAGATTTTGCTTGTGCTTTTTGCAGTTTATGCTGTCTCAGTAATAGCGCAAACTGTTCCAGGCGCCCACTGGTACGCTAGACTTGTACTGTGTCAGTGATGGAGGAAATAAAATTCTTTTTTTTTTTTTTAATTCTTGGCTTTTTGTTTTTATCATTCAAGTGCTGCTGTCAGAGTTGTATCCCCAGTTGAAGTCAGACAGTAAACTGGATGGTGGAGTAACGTATTTGCAGTTAGATAGCACAGAAGGTGCGCAGCTGAGGGAAATGAAAGGATCCCCAGTTTCCTCTTGGCAAGCCCAGACATCAGGCAGTTCAGCTTGTTAGTGGCTGTATTACAAGTACTGACAGGTTTTGAATTCGCTGATTTGTAAACCACAGTGTTGAAGATGGGCTTCTTTGGGGTCTTCAGTGTTGAAGACCTTTTTGAAAATCGTTCCCTTTTTTGAACAGCCATCTGATTTCCTTGCTGGCAATAGAGTTGCTGGAATGAGAGGCCACATTCAAAGTCGATGCTGTAAGGCAGGGAGCAATGCATATTTCAGATGAAGAACCATATTTGCCTGTAAAAGGAGTGAGCGTAGTGAGAATAATTTTACTGAGAAAGTAAGAAAGTACTGGTTTATATGTGAATGAAGGAAAGGGTACTTGATCTCATTTTCTCATCAATTATTTTTAAATCTTTCATCATACAGGTTCTTCTTTTATTTACTCTGTGATATTGCTTGCATTCCCTTGTCTTCTGATCAAACACTGGTGATGTACAGGTTGTATGGGTAGTTCATTATGCATTTCATGTTGGTTCTTGGCACAAACAGTCTTGAGGGTATGGAGATAAGGAGGAATTGAAAGAAGGATTTATTACCATGGAGTGGTAGTTTTCCATTCCTTAAGCTAGTATATCACCTTCAGCTCAGTGAGTGATGGATCCCAGGGTATTCCTTTTGGCGTGTTTATGTTTTTGTCTCTGAGGATCACTTGTTACAAGGTACCAACATTGAGCATTGGCATCCAGTGGGTGTTCAGTGTTAATTTTGGAGAGTGAAAAAAATAGGAGATTGCTCATCTGCAAGAAGCTCAGGAGCTTGGGAAGAGGTCAGCAAGCATGGAGGTTGTTCAGCCTCACAGTTGTAGGGTGTGCAGAAGTCAGGTAAATGGAAGGGTGTAGGGCACTTTTGTTTCTGAATACAGGATGGGCTTAAAAACATAAAATAGAGCAAGTGTCTTTTGGAAGCCAAGGTATTGAAATAATTGTCATCCTGATTTTGGAATTAGACTCTTGCCTAGTGAAGTCAAATCATCAAAAAAAAAAAAAAAAAAAAATTAAAGATTTAATTCCTCAGGGAAAATTAACTGAATTCAGTTATTCTGAGTATAAAATGTTACTATTTTGAAATGCTGAGTGTGGAACTCAAGATTCCCTGAGTTAATGGCACAGGGAAGTGTTACATTATTTCCAATCAGTGACTGTCATTAATATGCTGTGCAAACAGCTTGCTTGTGTGTGGACATTTTCTCTATTTGTTCTTTGACACGTTCTGTATATTGTGCTACTGTTGTAGACGTGGGCTGGAACAGCCCAATACATTATTGGTAATGGAAATGTCATTGCAAATATGTTGTAACTTTGATTTCACCATGGAAGTGGACAAGACCTTTGCTTGTAACCAGATTTTCTGAACTCTCTTGTGCATATTTGTTTCAATTCTTGTAATTCTAATTGCTTGTGTTGAGTCAACAGGGTACTACAGTCCTATAGTGGAACTGAAGGGACAGAAATACAACTCAGCTTTCTTGCCCAGCTCGTAATTAGCAATTAAATGGCAGTAGGGCTCTGAGGCCTCAACTTTGATTGGGATAGGCTATTCTTAGTTTCTTGCAAATGTCGTACCTGCCTTTTAGTGCTCTCAGTGCTTCCCCTCCATTTGCAGTTGCTGAGTACAGTTGTGGGTATTGGTGTGGGGAGGCCTCAAGCACGTGATGTCTGCAAACAGCAAGCAAAGAGCTTAGTCCTCACAGGTGAAACCTTCTCTGGAGTCTGCCCTGCTGGTGTATCCAAAGTGTTTCCCAGCGTGCAATATATTTGGGTTTGTTCCCTGTTGATGGAGGTATTAGCAGCAGGATGTCTGTGTGTAGTGCCTGCTGGTTTTTAAAACTAGCTTTTGCTTTCTTTGCTGGCTTCTTTTGATGCATATAGAAAAATCTGGTGCCCATCTGTAGTGCTGAAGGTTGAACGCAGCTCCCTGATTTTCAAAGGATTCCATGTATGAGATAGCTGACTGAATGAGGCACTGTGCTGTTATATTCTGCTGCTTCCCCACTTGAACACAAAGAAGGTGTTTGAAACACCTGGGACAAAGTGTCATTATTTTGGAGTGCTGCTGTGCGTGCGTGTTAAATTTTTTCATAGCTTTATCAAATACATGAGAAATAAGGAGATTGAAATAAAAATATAACAACTTGCATATGTGTATATAAATAGATTTATTTTTCCCACAGGATGTGATTTCTGCTGCCTACTGTCTGCAGCATGGGTTATGACCCTAGAAGACATTTGTCAGCATTCACTTGTAGTGGTGTGGATTAAGATTGCAGCTCTGCAAGCTTTTCTCTCTCACGTGTGGGCATGAGAGGACTCAAATACTGACTGTTGAAGTTTTTCCAGCACCTACTGTCTTTTGCTTTTGTGTGATGCATGCAAAGTGGGTTTAAAGGAGGAAGAGAAGGCAAGTAATGAAGATTAGTGGATCTGTGTGTCTGGGAAACCTGACATGGCCTCTTTGTACACCACTGGTAATAACAGTAATAAATCTTCCTTGTGAATGAAGTGCAGGGCTGTTGTGAATCCTTAATTATTTGGCACACAAGGGCTTCGTAAGAAATTGCCTCTCACACCAAGTTCTGTGCGTTAATCCCCACTGATAGATGTCACTCTTGATTTTCAGTCCAGTTACTAGAAATGGCTAAGCTAGAGCCATTACTTAATGCCATGCTTTAACTCCACTAGCTGCCATTTCCAAATCAAATCACTTGTACCCTCTGCCTGGCAAGAGCCGTTACCATGTCTACATAACTAAAATTTGAGGGTCAGATCCTCAACAGTATGCACATGAAATGTGCAGAAGCAAGTTGGTTTGCAGGTGCAAACCATGTGGGAACTGCAACCCAGCAGACGAAAACCTGGAGAAAGAGCTGGAGGACTTTATTGCTTTCCCAGATTTTTCATAGACCCACTATGAGATCTCAGCAGATCCTTCACCCGTTGCTGCATTTCTTAAATCTTCCTGTCTTGTTCATTTAGATTGTGTGTTCACTGGAATTTGGCCTTTTTCATGTGTTTGTGTAGTCCTGGCACACTTGGAGTAGTATATTGTAAGAACAGTGACTTGGATGCACTACGATGCCTTTTCTTTCTAGTAAGACTTTTTTTTTGTACCCCAGTGACTAAGTTGTAACAATAACTGTTACCATTTTAAAAAACAGAATGTAGGTTGCATATATGCTTTACAATGTAAACAATCCTTCCAGTTGCAGCTTTTTAAAGAACATCTGATAGCAGCTCTTGCTGTTGGTAGTTAGTTCAAAACCTTAATTACTTAAAACCTCGTTATATTCTCTCGCATGCATTTGGGTAGCTTCCTACCTTTTAATTGTCCTTCCAACAAGGAATTTGAAGTGCTAGCTATGAAACGCTGATGGAGTAAAACCTTGCAAAGTTCAACTGACTGTGCCAGAATTGTGCACTGGCAAAACACTAACTCTAGTTTCCATTGAACTTACTGAGATGAGGAGAAGTAAGGGGGTTAAATAGATGAGAGGTCCTGCTCTACCTTTTTCATGTGCAATTGTATTTAACATGCCTTGGGGCAGGAGTAAAGGGGTGAGGTCCCACAGTGTTCTCCCAGGCCCTGCAATGCCTAATCATGATAGAATGAGTTAAGAACAAAACTCAAACCCAGCTGCCTCTCAATAAACTTTGTAAAGAAATGTCATCTCTAGCATCATATGCAAGGAGAGGAGTGTGATGGGGGCTAACAGTGTATGGTTATTCTGTTGCAGATGCCCAGTGTACATAGAGGAGAAAGCTCTAAATACCCTAGCCTACCTTTGCGACGGTGATGCAAGGACTGGACTGAATGGACTCCAGTTAGCAGTTCAGGCCAGATTAGCAGTGGGGAAGACCACTCCTCTGACTTTTACCAAAGGTGGTTCTGCAGATGGGATTCTGATAACAGAAGAGCATGTAAAGGAAGGGCTACAGCGATCTCACATCCTGTATGACCGAGCAGGTGAGTACCTGATGTAGTTTCTGAGATGCAGCATTCTCAAGAGCTGATAGCCTTTATAATTTCTGTTTCTTCTCCCTCTGTCCTACCAGCTGCTCTGGTGAGACAGTGGTTGTACTGAGATTTGGCCTAAAAATTACTTTTCCTTTACAGAGTAGCAGGCTCACCCAGAAATTCCTTCTAAACTGGGTTTCCTGTTACCGTTTAGGAAGTATAGGTTAGCTGAGGGACATATTTCCTGCCCTGCAAACAGTTGCATGGTGAAATTATTTGTTCTTTAAGGTTATTAGAATATTGTCTTCTAAGGGGTTTGCACTATAAATAGGGAGAAGTAATTTAATGAGGAGATTTGTTCTTGCAGGGTGGGAAATTTTCCATTGCACTTCTACTCCTTTGAAAGTCTTGGAAGTGCTCACATTCACAACAATATCTTATTGGAAAACCTGAGCAGCTTGCTTTATTTTTAGAGTTGCTTTTTAAGGTAATGAATTTAGTAGCTTGCTTAGGGCAGGTCACATAAATCTGATTGCATTTAAGGCTACCTAATGTGATAACCACTCTTCCTAAATTTGTGCCTTGGCAAGGTTAGGTTATCACAATAGTTGGCCACTACACCATTTTATCTGAGAGGGTTAAAAATCAGAGAGTAAATATTAGAGATCAGGTGAATCCCCTTGAACGCATATGCTAGTTCTTCAGCAATACTTGAATCGCCACGCAGTATAGTAGCAAATGATTATGCCAAGCCATATTTGGAGAACGGATTGATTTTTTTGTTTGTTTGTTTGTTTTGCCACTGTATCTGATATGCTCAATTAACTGTCACTACTCAAAACCTGTGATGAGAGATTTCTTGAGCTTGTTCGTAATGTATATGCCTGCTTGCAGCCGCCTTGCTACAAAGAGGAAGCGATGGCTCATTGTCAGGAAAGAGTCAGCTGGGCAGATATTGATACGATGGCAGCTGAGAAGTGGAGGGTAGGCAGAGGGAGGGAGAATAAAAATTTGTTGGGGTCTGTGGCAGGAAGAAGTCATGATTAGGAGGGAGCGGAAAATCTGACCGGTTTACTGCTGTGAGTCTCTTGCGTCAAAAAGCTGTCGCCGTGTGGCTGCTGCCACGCAGAACTCTTGGCTGTGGCCGTTCCTCCCAGCTCTCCCACACCTACTTGCTCCCTTAGAGACAGCATGGAGTGCCTCTTCCAGGCTTGCTAATAGTGTGTGTCACACCCTTCTCCGTGGCAGAAATCCTTCGGGCTCTGTGTAGGGGGTTGGGGTTTTTTCGTCAGAGATTTTGAGAGAGGGATGAGAGTGGTAAAAGTTCTGTTTTTCTTGATTGTATGAATGCTAAAGAGCCTTTAATAGGTATTTTCACAATAGCAGGTTGCCTGAGTACATGCTTTGACAAAATTTTTCTCTTCTGCAGAGTAGTCTGTCTCAGTTGACCAGTTTTGTCCATAGCAGAGATACCTGGTTGTCCTTTTACATACAAAGGGCTTCTGGATAGAGGCTACTGTAAAAATAAAACACACTTTTGTAGCATGCTTTAGCATATACTTTTTGAATTGCAGTTCTTATGGTGAAATCTAAAATCCTCTAATAAAGTGTTTCAGCCTTATAAAATGAAGAGACATGATGCTGTCTAATGATGATAGCAGCGGCATACTTTTGAGTGTAGTGTGTTCATGTAGAAAGCACCAAATAATTGAGTACTGTTCAGGATTGTGTAAACATGGAATTTTGATTTTACATAATTATTTTTGCTCACCTTCAGCAAAATTTGGCAAATATATGTAGTTGGGCATTATTTTATGTACTTTCACCAAGTAGTCTAGGAAGGAAATTATTCTTAATCCAGTCATTAGGCTATTGTTCTGATCTGTGTGCAGACGTGTAAAGACAAGATCTTTATGCAGATAGTCTGTGTGTTTTAGCTGGAAGGACAAAGAAACAACTAGTCAAATTTCACTGCCTTTGCAGCGTGAGTGGAAACAAATTTATTAAGTCATATTTTAGCTGTTAATAGCAATTTTTTCAATTTTTTATTTTTGGAGAAAATTATGCAGCAACCAAATTAATTAAAATTAACTCCATATGGACAAAGACCAGATATTTGAGAGAGAGTTGTATTGTCTCTTCTTCCTCTTGTGTATTGTGTCTTCACTTATGGTAAAGACTGGGAATGTGTTAAGCTGAAGGTAATTTATTCTGTGATCTGGAACACGGTTGTTCCTTCCTTTTCTATGGAGAAGGTGTCTCACACCACAGTGTGTGTTTCCCAGCTTTATTGTTTTCTGCTGGACCAGAATGAGAAGTCTTTTTACCCAGGCTGCCTTTCTAGTCTTATTTCCAAGGCTTTCTTCCATCCTTCATTGGTGAGCAGTTGATGCTTACCTTTGGCTAAGACAGACAGGAAATAATGAGATAGGGACTTTTATTTTACTTTTGCCCTCTACTTTACAAATAGGGATTGCTTAAGAAGTCCAGATATTAATTGTGGTCAGTAAATGAGGCCTTTTCCCTGTTTTCTATCAATAAGACTTTAGATAAATTAACATCTGACATAAATTAACTGGAAAACTCTTCATGAGCACATAAAGTGATTTAGGGGCACAAAACTGGGAATCAACAAGATTTATTCATCTATATACATTAGACACTAGAAAATCCTATCCTCCACAAAGCCTCTGTGGAGTATCTTGCGTCTCTTAGGAAAGGTATTTGCCTGTGTGGAAACCGCATAGAGAAAATGTGTTTTGGTTTCAGGAGGTATCCAGGGCGCAAAACAATAGTGATAGACGAGTTTGCATGTGCCTTGTCTCTCAACTGAATTCATAGGGCTAAAACCTATATATTGGCTAACCAATCTGAGAGACAGAGCAAATAAATAAAGGTCTATAAAAAGTTCTAATTTTTTTAAACTGCTTCTGGTATCTCACATAGAAAAATATATAAACTGTATTTTTTAAAAAGAAACATAAAACCTCTTTGTCTGATGCATGTAACTGTATTTTGCCTTTAACTGAAACCGCATTTAAAGTACAACTGCACAGTTTTTCTGAAGAAGTTCAAGTCTGGTGTATAAGTATTGTCATTACGTTGATGGCTCAGTTACCAACATCAGCTTTGTGAGGAAAGAGTTAAAGGGACAACATGGTCCCCTTTCTCAGCCACATACTCAGAAATGTCCCAGAGGTCTGTATCTCTAGTCCCAACCTACCCTCTCGATTCCTTCTGCCTCTCCAGCCGGTACCCCAAGTACAGCATATAAAAGCACTCCAGTAAAAAATTTCTGAGTGAGTGCAACCTCTGGAGATATTTAAAGGCCATCTTCCTTACTTTTAAGAGACCGAGAGATGCCTCTTCCAAGAGGACGATGAGAGTTCAGCTGCTTGAGTTTATTGCTACTAACTCAAGTGTTATGACGGAACACGGACATGCTGTTTGTGTTGGCACAAGTAATGACTGCATACCACGAGGCTCTTTGTGCAGAGTCCCCTCAAAAATAGCTGTCTGCCGGCCTGCGTACGCCAGCAGCGCACGCATTGAATTCCCCACAGAACCACACTGCAATGTGAGCAGCGACGTGGGAAGATGGACCCAATTTCTCACCTAGGAGGTGAAGGTCTTGCTGGCTATGAAAGGAGCAATTGCAGCAGTATGGGGGCTTTGGTTTTCAAAATCCTGTGTGCGGCCTTTTGTTTTGCAGGGCCTACAAGCAGCGGTGACGTGTTTTGATATGGTCCTCGGGCTGTAAATCCTTTTAGCCGTAGGAAGAAGAGAAATATTAACAGATGGCTGTGCATGCAGCCAGTTGCCTTTATAATACACAGTTAGCTGTGAGCCAAGGAATGCCAGGCACTTCAAAAATAAAAAAGGCAGATTATGTGGAAAGTTTAACAACAATATCACAGCAAAATACTCTTACAAATTCGATTAAAAGAAATGCATAAGAATCAAAACCAGCTGCACAGAGGAACATGGAAAGCGGGAAGGGTCTCAGTCAGTGTTTGTAGTATTTTTAACTGTAGCCCTAAAAGATCTGTGAAATGGCTTTGTTTCTCCTTGCAGTCCGTATGTAATCTTATATTAAACTTTCACGTTAAAAAAAAAAAAAAAAGCCTTGTTAATAATTCAGTCTTCCCACTCCTTACTTTAGCAGTCCAGCATTTCAGGTAGTTGGCTTTTCTGTTTCCTTTTGTTCATAGCTTTTTGTTTGAGCTGCTTAGTTTTCAGGACCCTTCCAGTGGTGCAGGTGTCTAAACTGAACCCAACATTTCATAGCGGTTTGCCAGGGTTGTGTGCTGTGATCTGTTTCTTCCAGATTGTGTAATGTACCATCATTGTATATCCACAGCAACATTTCCTTTGTTTCCCCATGTAATGCAGCAAACCTGTGTCTGATTTACTGCATACTTTATTTTCATAGAATCTTAAGGTTGGAAAAGACCAGCAGCCCAAGGTCCTTTTCCTCCAGGCAGCTTTCCAGCCACTCTTCCCCAAGCCTGTAGCGTTGCATGGGGTTGTTAAGCTTTAGTTGATGTGAAATTCCTGTTTTCTAAAATATCACTAGGGTGTAGAACTGGATTTCTGTGATTCCTCTGTTGCCTTCTCAGAGCTCTGTGTGTGCCCAAAAGCAATGGTCAGTGGTTTCTACGTGCTCATACTGTGTTCTTTGTCACTTAGGAGATATTTATAGAGTCTTCTTCCTAACTGCTTAAAATATCTTTTTTTTTTTTCTTTTGAAAGAGAGGTCATTAGGTTACCAAAACCAAATTGTTTGTCTTTTAATCTTTAAAAAAAACATCCTCCTTTTCATCTGCTGTTGCTCGGTTATGCTTATGTAGTCAGTGGAATGATCTGTGTGGCAAAGCATGAAGGTGCTTTAATGAATGCCATAATCACATATACATAAAAAGAACTTGAAAAAGCACATTATGTTTACCTGCTGTGATCTAGTACAATATATTCTGTTCTCTTAAATGCATTTCACTTAATTTCCTCCTAACAGCTTTGTGTATTTCTTCTCCCCTATTCTAAATAGGAGAAGAACATTACAATTGCATCTCTGCCCTGCATAAGTCTATGAGAGGCTCAGATGAGAATGCTTCACTTTACTGGCTTGCTCGAATGCTTGAAGGTGGTGAGGATCCGCTGTATGTGGCAAGGAGGCTGGTGAGGTTTGCAAGTGAGGATATAGGTCAGTATTTCAGCTTGGAATATTATGCTGAATGAAGATCTGCCAGGCTTCTGGTTTCCAAAAATTGGCGTTTGAAGGAAAAAACAAAACAACCCCAAAACTGCTATATGCAAAATAGGTACAAAATACTGAAATGCGCCACATCCAACAAAAACTTTGTGTATACAGACAGCCACCTACACATGGTGTCATTGCGATGATTACCTATTGTAGGAGAAACTGAGTCTTTTGAGGTCATGTTTTGGTGGTGTATTAATATAGATTCTTTTAAAGTCTGGTGATTGTAAGTCACCAATAAACTTGTGTGACCGAGAATGTGTATTTCAGGGATGTCTGGTTGGTTTTTTTTAATGACTGTGGAATGTGAATGCCAGCCCTGACTTGCAAGCTTCAGGCTCCCTAGCTGTAAGATATTTTGATTGTCATACCCAAAGTAACAGATGCAGCAACACTTCTAGCACACGTGTGGGGGGTGAAGAGTTATGAGATCTGAGGAAGTTATGTCTGTATAGCAAAATTCCCCTGTTTCTTTCTCACTTGCAAAAAGTAAGCGAATCAGACGCTGGCAGCTACTGCTCAGGCTGCCACCATGTGGCAAGAGATTCAGACTGTAAGTCATAGTCATGATTTAGACCTTTCTTGTTTGGGGGGGACAGAAGCAGGAAGGCTGTGGATGGAGGGAACAGATCTTATGTACAACAAAGTATTGTACCAGAAGTTCCAACATCTGAGAAAGCAAATTTGAAATGTGCATGGATAATCTTCCCTCTCACAGGAGGGGAAAGAAAAGAGAGAAAGAAGACAGTAACTAAAGTAAACTGAATTTAATCTGCTTTTATGTGATCTCTTTTTGTAGGGCTGGCAGATCCGCTGGCTTTAACACAAGCAGTTGCTGCTTATCAAGGTTGTCACTTTATTGGAATGCCAGAATGTGAGGTAAAGGCTTCATTAATTCACTGATTTGAAAGTACTGCAAACTGTAAAACCTACTTATAATTACAAAAAGAAACAGATTGCAAGGACAAGAAAAATTTATTTGTTCATTTGGCACACCTCTGATGAGTAAGAGACCATTGTAGCTCTTCAAATAGATGCTGCAGTTTGAAATAAAATTCCCTGCATATTTTTTTGTTAAAATGTGGTATGTAAGCTAATATAATTTTGGTCTGTCCGTTTTTTTTTTTCTTGTTGTAAATAAAATACTATATTCTGATGTTCAAAATTAGCTATTCTTTTCTAGTAGAAAAAATCACGAAGAACTGTGTTTTTGTTAAATGATAACATTCATACTGCAGCGGCAGGCACAGGTCAGTTTAAAAACATAATCTCTGTCATACTACACAAACAACCTGAATAACAGACCTTTGCTCACAGAGCTTAAAAGAAGTCATTTAACATTCTCCCTCTTCTTCTTTCCAGGTCATTCTAGCACAATGTGTAGTGTATTTTGCCAGAGCACCAAAGTCTATAGAGGTATACAGGGCATATGGCAATGTCAAAGAATGTCTGCGAATGCACACGGGACCTCTGCCGCCTGTTCCGCTGCACCTGAGAAATGCCCCAACGAGGCTCATGAAGAACTTGGGCTATGGTAAAGGCTATAAATATAACCCCATGTACAAGGAACCTGTAGAGCAGGACTATCTGCCAGAAGAGTTGAAGGGAACAGACTTCTTCAAGGAACGAGAAACGTGACGGCCTTGCTCGGAATGCGTTTTGATTTTGTGACTCAAACATTTGTACTGGGATGGAAATTCCCCTCATAGTTCCAGCCATCTGTTACTGTCGTTGGAAGTATTAAGCCACTGAACCTTTCAGATACCTTCTTATCCTTCTGGTTTTACTACTGTTATTCTGAAGATGTTTTGTAAAGAATTACAGTTAGGCAGTATAGAAATGAAAAAAATAAGCTTTATCAGTATAGTGCTGTCACCTTCTGGTTCAAATGGAGAGAAAATGAGAGACTTGTATCTCTGGCTTTTGCTGTGAGACAAGGAGTATTATTGTGCTGCTTTTTAAAATCAGTATCTATGTCGGATTTTGAGAATTGTTTATTTTCCAGAAAAATAGTAAATTGTACCCACCCCTGCTAAAATATTAAACAAAAATATAATTACAGTGTAATTCTTGCTCTTGTGATGTTCCAGAGACTAATTTTATACAACTGCATTTATGAAACCAATAAAGTTGTTAAAAATAGTGTCTATGCATTTGTTTAAATATTCTTATGACAGCAGTGTGGAAGTTTGAAAGTTTGAGGTTCCTTTATCATCTCTAGTTTCCAGAGAAAGTTTAAATCATTTTGGAAGTAGAATAGTTATGAAAATAGCTGAATTATGTTAGTTTTTGAAGTTGTATCATTTTAAATTTTTATTGTGTGATAACATTTTGGGAAGTGCTTTTGGAAAGGAGATTCCTGGTAGCAAAACACACTCATGTATTTCCAGTTGTGTTTCAGGAATTCCATTAGCTTTGAATTGGAAAGCTGAGAGACACAAATTGACTTACTGCTGTTATAATAGAGAGTTTGGCTTCCTCTTCCAACTGAAAACATATTCACATCCAAGATTGCTGTTGACTGAACATTTCAATAAGTGGAATGTACGGTCATGGCCGTGTCCCTGATGTTGACAACATTCCTTCACTTAAGTGCTGATTATTTTTCTTCTCTTCAATCTTCTTTAAGTGTACAGAGGTCCAGTGTGCTGAAAACAGCATATGACGCTGCTAACTAGCAGCTGGGTAGCAGAAGACGACTGTGTTTGGCTAGAATTACAGCAGATAATTAGTGAAGAAGACTTTCATTGCTGAAATGCTGAGGAACCACCGGGGTAACGTACACACTTGTCAGCACGCCATGGAGTAAACTGGCCACCAGTGATGAGGATGTGTGCCTTGGCTGAAAATTACCACTGACATGGTAGTGCAGTGCAGTTACAGCTGGATTTGCTCAGTAACTATTCAGGATTTGCCTGCTATGTGCCCCATATACCTGTGTTACTGAGTCTATACTGGTTACCTGATGGACTTCCAAGGATTCCTGTCCTGATCCTGCTTAGTTTATGAACTGTGATGAGATCAATGCTTACAAGGCTTTATGTATGGCTTCTGATCTTCATTTGCTGTTCAACTAAGAATGCCACATCCCTCTTAAAAGAAGGAGGTGGGTCTGCTGACTTCCCTGGGAGGTGTCAGAAGGTTACGAACTCTCCTCCAAAAGGACTATGTACCACAGATTATTTTTTTATATATATAACATTGAATCATTTGGGTTTTTTCTGATGCGTTGACTGAAAAATAGCTGGTGCTTTGCTTCCTGTTTACAGTATTGCATTTAACAATTTTTTAAAACTTGCATTCAGCTACCTAATTCAATTTGTAAATAAATATTTCATTTTGGGGCAAAGGTAGAAAACCGTTTTGCATTGGAGCCATGTCGAGCTCATTGCACCTCTCTCGAGCTGTACACGTGATACAACCCAGCTACCTGGTATACACAAATGGCAGGCAGGTATTTCCTGACATCAGAGGTATTTGGTGCCATGCGGAGCTTACATCAGAGAGGGTGCCATGACTCCGTATCCGGAGTTTGTTTGTTCAGAGCGACTGCTGCAGACCAGGTCTGTGGTCTAAGGATGCGGTTCCAAGTCAGGAAGCCAACTTTAACCTTCCTGCAGCAGGAAATTCAAGTTGATTACTCTTTCTGTTTCAAGATACATTACTGGGCCTTGGCCTTGATCGAAGATTTTCTATATACAACCTGCAAAATCTTTTTTATTACTGTCTTCTCTTGACAAAAAGGGTATTTGTATTGGAGATTAATTTTGTTGGGAGGCTCCCAGCTTGGTAGTCTTCATATTAAGTTCTTCTGCATGACAAAAAGTAGGACTTAAGCCAAGGGCCACGATGTAACCGAAATATTTCAGAAATTAAACTGACTGCATACTGTTAGAGGGTTTGAGTCAGATTCTTTAAACGTTTCTTCCTTCCTCAAATAAGTACCCCTGCTCTTCACAGCAGGATAGTTTAGCAGGGTAGGAGCTACTACTCTGAGTTTGTGTCTGCCCTTTCAAGATATGTAGAAAGATGGGAGCAGAGGTGAAAACATGGATTAACTTAATCCAAAATACTCTTGGCAAAATTACTTGTGCTATCAGCCAATGTTCATTTTAATTCTTAAGACACAGAGAGTTGGTTTAAGTAGTTCTTTAAATGGCCCATGATTTGCAAACTGACCCCAGCTTGCAAAACAAATCAAATCAATGGATTGGTAAACTTAAAAGATGTTTTTTTTGTCTTACAGGTGTGTGCGAGGTGGGTGTGCTTCCCTTTGACGCAGCTGGCAGTTACAAGTGTTGGGCTAATGCAGTCTGAGGTATTTTTCCATTCTTATTTCTTTCTGTTAGCAAAAAGAATGGGATAACCTCACCAGATTTTCTTAACTTTGCTAGTACCTAATAATGCTGAAATCTAATTCACTATAAAGTTTTACCCAAGGGAAACCTCAGACTCTAGTTTCTTGCCTGCAGTTGACAGAAATCTTTACTCAAAGCCTTAACTTTCTATTTACGGCACTTAGTTATTTAAGACTTGATCAAACTTCCCTTGTTACAAGAAATTGTGTCCCAGATGTTACCACAAAAGTTGCACAGCAGTTTTGGAGAATGATAATAGTGTGGTTTGCCCTGTACAACCCTCTAGTACTCTCTGTTGTGGACCAACTTGGTGTATTCAAAGTGGACCTGACAAAAATCCTCTGTGCTGGTCTGCACTCAGCAAAGACTTGGTGGAGTTTAGCTGATAGAGTCTCTATCATCAGCCAAAAAATCCGTGGCTGTAGAGACTACAGCCAGTCCAGCTGGGCAGAGATTATTATTTTCTCTGCAGTATCTCCTCTGAGTTGGTTGCAGGCCACCGCAAAATTGCAAACAGAGACAGTCTCTTTTGTGTTCTTAGTGCCCCTGTGATGGTCCGGCCTCTGTCCTGCAGGGAAGGTGCAGAGGAAGAAAATTGGCATTGCTGGGCTCGTGGCTGAAATGAGGAAAATTAACATCTGCTGCTGTATGGAGAGAGCGGAAGTGAGGCACTAAGTAAGCCTGCAGGTAAGACAAAGTAATTTAAAAGCAGATATTGACTGTAGCTGTTTGTCCTCTTAATTGTGGCCTAAAAATTTCTGCATTAATACACGCAAGAGCTGGAGGTGACAAGAAACTGCAACAATTCTGTATAGTCTGTGCAACAAATACCTTGGGTTTCCAGTGGAAGACAGTCTAGGGGTGATAACTCACGCATTCTCTGTAGTTGATATGAATTGTGGCTCAAGCAAATACAGATTTTTATGCCCTGGTCTGACTAGACTGTGGTTCTCCCTTTGTAAATACTCGGTCCGTGCTCCTTTCTCCTACCATTGGTCTCTAAGCACTCGTGCATTATCCATACAGTCCTATACTGCAAGTTTTCTCTGACTTGGCAGTCCTCCCTCTGTTATTTGAAAGGAGACAAAGACCCATAACCCTATGCAGAGCCTGGGTCTTCTCCTCATCTACTGACTCACACCTCCATCTGCAACATGTGACATGATACATAAGTATTATTTTATAATGTGCTGGGATGTTAAGTAAAAAGGGTAAGGGATCTATTCTACACACTCCCCTATTAATGATGAGGGTATGCCTGTTCATGGACCAAATTGCAAATTCTCTAAAACCTGCAGGAAAAAAATGTTTAGGTCAGATATATCATGAAGGTAATAAATGAAGTAATTTTACAGACAAGTTATGCAACAATAAAAGTTGCAGAAGATTGTTATATTAAGTACTCACAAAGGATCATTCCCTATTGCTCATACTACAGAGAAAATAACATAATTGTAAACCATAAACTGTAAACTGTTAAGTCTCTCAGCTGTCTAGCAGGGGCATTATGTTTTATCTGGTAAAAAACAACTGAGATGGCTGAAATCTTAGTATGACTAATTTTTAAAAAAAAATTGATAATTACAGTGGCTGTCCCATAATAAAGATTAACTGACTTTTGAAAAGTCAGTTTACCCATGGAGCTCTGAGATTAAATGCAAAGTGACTGACCAGGGTCATACGTGTATTAATGCAAGAAGTAAGGCTTTCCATATCTGCGAGGACTTAGATATTACCATTTACATTCAGTGGCATGCATATGAGAAGTCATTGCCTAGAACAGAGGATATATTGGTTAGTTATAACCCGTTAGTGGGCTATAATTATTTTTTCAAGACCAATTTAACTCAAGATTTACTTACTAACAAACACTGAAAACAGCAACAAAAACATGGGTTTATTTTGCTTTGCTGGGCTAGTATTTGGAGGACATAAAGTGTTGCTATTTGGGTCACATATTAGAGGACATTCCTGGTGCATGCTTATGGAGTATGCTAGGCAGGGGATTTAGTGATGAAGAATACCAGCAAAGTGTGAAGGCAGGTTTAGAATTACTAGCGAGACATTTCAGACTCTTATTCTTGGTAATGATAGCTTTTATATATTGCAAGAAATTGAAACTACCAAGATAATTCAGCTGTAAAATATGTCACAACTATTCTCTTCTGGGGTTGGACGCTCATTGCCAAAGGTTTTGGTCAACAGCTGCCCTATCTTGTCTAAATAGGAGGTTGTAAAACTGGCAATAGGTTTGGTATCTCTCCGCAGTGTCTGATGAGACCCAGGAGCTGATAGTGCTGATAGTTTTTGAAAGCTTTGAGTAAAGTGTCTTTCTAAAGAAGAGCAAGTCTTTTGACAAGCTTCATTTATGTAAATTTGCATGTTTTCCTT